GTAACATTTCCATCACACGCTTGAGGCATTCGGCCAATCACAACGCACGGGATAGCTGGCCAATCAGAGCACATCTCGCTTTTTCAGACAATAATGTTCTTTTTAGCAACGCCATATGACCCCTTTAAGATATTTTTGATGAAATCCAAGAGCTTTCGGACCCTGCATAGACAGCAACGCAACTGGCACGTTCAAGGCCCAGAAACATAGTAAGAACATAGTTAAAATAGTCCATGAGACATCAGTGGTTCAAACTTAGTTTTATGAAGCTACAAGAATGCTTTTTGTACACAAAGAAAACAAAAATAACGACTTCTCTTCCATGTCAGTCTTCAATGTACATTCATGACAGTGCCACAACGCATAAAAAATATTCTTGTAGCTTCATAAAATTCAGGTCGAACCACTGATGTCACATGGACTATTTTAATGATGTCCTTACTACCTTTCTGGGCCTTCAACGTGGTAGTTGCGTTGCTGTCTATGGAGGGTCAGAAAGCTCTCGGATTTCATCAAAAATATCTTAATTTGTGTTCTGAAGATGTACGAAGGTCTTACGAGTTTGGAATGAAATGAGGGTAAGTAATTATTGACAGAATTTTCATTTTTGGGTTAACTATCCCTTTAAGGATTGGGATTTTTTATTTTTATTTATTTTTTGTCATAATTTCAACCTAATAAAATATTTTAGAGTTTAGAATAGATTAACTAGAAAAATATATATTTAATATAAAAATGCCCATTAAGTTTGACCTATTTATTTATTTATTCATTCATTCATTCAGATTATTTGGATACACTTTATTTTGATGGTCCCTTTAACACATTCTGTTGACTATAAGTAACGTTGCACCTACACATATTTATTAGCTCTCAATAGAGTGTTGGTAGAGTATTAGTAGACTGGTAAGGGTTAGGGTTAGAATAAGTTGACGTAAGTAGAATGTCTGTTTGGAGACCATCACAATAAAGAGTTAGCAGATATTAATTAGACAGTCTACTAATACTCTAATGAGAGTTAGTAGACATGTACTGTAGGTGCAGTTTTACTTATTGTCAACAGAATGTTCAAAAGCAAAGTTATTTTAAGTCATATTAGGCCCCCCTAGAAAGGTTGCTGAGGCCCCCTCGTTATACAAAAGTTAAAAATGTTTCTGTATCATTTACTCACCGTCATGTCATTCCAAACCTGTATGACTTTCTTTCTTCTGTGTATGATAAAAGCAGATGTTTTGAAGAGCGTTCATGCTGCTCTCTCCCATACAATAAAAATGGATGGGGAACAGAGAAAATACGTCCTCTGAGGCCATAGTAGCTTTGTGTCACTAAAATTTAAGTCAACATTCAATGAAAATAAAATCTTTAAAAGTCTTGCTTGACTACTGTGGTTACCCTTCACATTCATTCTATGGAAAAGAGCAGCCTGGACATTCTTCTAAATAACTCCTTTTGGGTTCCATGCAATGGAGAAATGCTGTGTCCAAAAATGCCTATTTCCCTATATACTATGCAAAAAACAATACTCAAAAAGAGTAGTATATCTGAATATATAGTATTAGAAAAACATTAGGTCACTATATGACGCCAAAGTAAATATTGATGTACAAACCCGATTCCAAAAAAGTTGGGACACTGTACAAATTGTGAGTAAAAAAGGAATGGAATAATTTACAAATCTCATAAACTTATATTTTATTCACAATAGAATATAGATAACATATCAAATGTTGAAAGTGAGACATTTTGAAATGTCATGCCAAATGTCCCAACTTTTTTGGAATCGGGTTTGTAAAAAAAATGTGAGGATGGGAACATGATGACTTTTTTCACGCTTGAGTGAATACTATTCTTTTTTTAGAGCACTCCACTGGATTTGATTGAGACTGGGAAAGCCCTGAAGGTCCAAGCAGAGCGCCCACATTTGGTCAGTCTAGGAAGTGGCCGTCTCAGTACAGCCATCACCCTCTTACCCCTGCCTGAAGGTAAGATTATTATTATATGATTATATATTTAGATTATATTTAGACTTCAGTGGACTTTTTCAAAAGGTTTGTGGTGTTACATCTCCATCTTTAAAAACTTTGGGGAAAAAAGTGGAAAGTTCTGAAAATATGGTCCAATATTGCTATTGTATGGGAAGAAACACAAATCTTTATAATACCAATATACACAGATGGTCAAATCCACTGTGTCACCTCTGTGCTGGGATTGTAAAGCCAGCAACCCGACTGAGCCTTAAGCACTATGGGGTCTTTAAAAACACCCTCTCTTAATTAGAGAAGCCCCTTCCTTCATTAACCACCCACCTTCATCTCCACCTACTTTCTCTGACACTGACCAGCCATTCATACCAGTGTCTCTTTTATCAGTGTCTCTGTCTGAATTCCTCGGAGACACATGGAATTATCATGAAGGCTTTGAGAAATTACCTTATGAAAAGGGCATGGGAGAAGAGGTTTTGAATGCTTATTTAATTTGTATTAGTCACTGTGTACTGTATTAGTATTATAAACTGATATGCTAGCTTGTGTGATTCCTCTCAGGCCACAGGCTTTTATCCCGTGCCTGATAACAGATAAGGGTGGACGGGGGCAGATGGGGAAGCGGGGTGAGGAATGTGGTTCTTCTCACTGACAAAAAGCAGGCCAACATCGCTGAATTAGCTCAGTTTAATTTAACATTATGCATCACACACTGAAAGATGATATCTATTGATGTTACATCTGTTTGTAAAGTTTGTCCACTTGCAACGTCCAACAGTGTTTTATTTTGTTTTTATTTTGTTTTATTTTTTATTTTATTTTATTTTATTTTATTTTATTTTATTTTATTTTATTTTATTTTGTAGTTTTTTTTGTTGTTATTGTAATTTTGTCCATCATCAAATGATATAGTTTATGTCTAAGGTAAAGTGACTCTATTATAAATTTTAAAAACATTTTTGGGGGAAAAATGGCTGACTTTGTTTTCTTACTATGGCTAATTTATATATCCAATATACGCACAATAAAATAATATTTTTACAGCTTTATTTTTTGGTGCATAATTTGACAGAATCACAACTTGACTAGAAATTATGCATCAAAATTGACCTTTTGATCACACATCACATGTCTCATTAATATCAAGCTAATATCTTCACTAATAATTTTATCTGAAAAATGAAAATTATAATAAAAAAATACATTTATTAGGGGCAAGATTGTTGGGGTCAATAACTTTAAAATACGTATGCAATGCACTAATCCGTATACTTTTGCAATAAATTGATCAAAAGTGACAGTAAAGGCATATTTATAATGTTAGAAAAGATTTCTATTTCAAATAAATGCTGTTCCGTTGAACTTTTTTTATTCGAATCCTGGGGAAAAAAAGCATCATAAATGTCTTTACTGCAACTTTTAATCAATTTAATGCATCCTTGCTGAAAAAAGGAATACATTTCTTTCAAAAACTATAACATGGTAACATGGAACTTTCATAACAGAGAGCTTGTGTCTGAGAAAAATCTGTTGCTTTTTTTGAATAACAATAAAGGCTGCTGAAAATTACATTCAAATTAATTTAAATTATATTACATTTGAATTAGTATTACTGATTTTACTGCATTTTTGATCAAATAAATGCAGTCTTGTTGAACATAAGAGAATTCTTTCAAAAACATTAACAATCTTTTGAACAGTAATGAATGTAAAAGTTAAACAGACAAAACTGCCTGGGTTTTCATTGACTGCTAACTTCACCTGAGTACTTTTGCAACCAGAAACTTAGGACATGTTGTCTGAGAGCAAACAATCTTTGAAATCAACATCCTGTGGGGGTTGTTTGTTTTAGGCAAGACCACTCTGGGTCACGGAGCCATGGACATCAACATCCAGGGCCCAGGGATCGCAGCTCAGCACTGCTTCATTGAAAACAAGGCAGGACTCATCACGCTGCACCCCTGTGGAAACCAGTGTAGCATGGACGGACTACCGGTCACCAAACCTGTGCGCCTGTCTCAAGGTAAACAACCACATTGTACCTTTCGTTCATTCACAGAAGTCCAATCCTTCAGATCGTCATCCAAATCAAATACAGCCAGGAATTTCAGTCATTGTTTTCTGCAGCATCAGCCATATTAAAATTCAAACATGATTCTTAAGTGTAAAATCTCTTATGAAAGGGAATCAATGCACCCAAACCGAAAGAAAGTCCGCCTCTCCTTTGTGTCTTTTGTCTGAGGGAACAATTTGACTAAACAGGTTGGGGGGAGGGGTGTGTTTTGGGTAATCTTCATTGTGCCAGCTTCTAGTGTTTCACTATTGTTCGATACGTTTGCTCTGAAATATTCAGTTTGATGTTCAGATTAAGAGCCTCATTTAGCCCAACCCATGATTTTTATTATCTCATAGCCTATGTGTAGAGTCATAAAAGAGCAGGAACCTGTGGAAAGAATGTTAAATGCAAAAACTGAAACAGAACCCCCGTTGCAGAGATTGGAGGCTCTGACTCAGGGGGTGAGCAATTACACCTCCTCCTTTCCCCATCCCTTATCTGAGAGGGAAATTAGTTGCACCAGTGATGGAGACAGCTGTTCAACTTTACCACCCATCACTACGAGAGCGTGCAGGGGTTCAATGACTTCAGAAGTGCTGGGATACAATACAGCACCTCTGGGTTGCCATTCGCTGGACAGGATTATATTTCTGTGACTGGAGATATATGGTTTATAGTGGGAGCCTCCTCACTACGACTGCGTACGGTGGACACTTATTTCAAGTTAACGATAAAGAAATCCGTTAAAGTATGGGGAATAACTGATGGATACTCTATGAACAAAGGAATTAGTACGACAAAGCAAGTCAGTCTCTGCATGCTACAGCTGTAGTATAAAACCATGTGCTTTCCCATTTAAAGGGACAGATAGGATGTTGCCTACAGACGGAATGGGAAGTTGATCGTTTGGATTTAAAAGTAAGTGTATGAGGACCTAATACATTTGTTTTGGTGTGAATATTCAAAAACGATATTTTAAGTTTCTGGTTGCAAAAGTACTCCGGTGAAGTTAGCAGTCGATGAAAACCCAGGCAGTTTTGTCTGTTTAACTTTTACATTCATTACTGTTCAAAGGATTGTTAATGTTTTTGAAAGAATTCTCTTATGTTCAACAAGACTGCATTTATTTGATCAAAAATACAGTAAAATCAGTAATACTAATTAAAATATAATGTAATTTAAATTAATTTCAATGTAATTTTCAGCAGCCTTTATTGTTATTCAAAAAAATATATTTTAAAGCAACATATTTTTCTCAGACACAAGCTCTCTGTTATGAAAGTTCACTTTACTGTAGTATTACCATGTTATAGTTTTCGACAGAAATGTATTCCTTTTTTCAGCAATGAAATTGCATTAAATTGATTAAAAGTTGCAGTAAAGACATTTATAATGTAATAAAAGATTTCTATTTAAAAATATACTCCTCTTTTGAACTTTCTATTCATCAACGAATCTTGTAAAATCACAGTTTTATCAAAAATATTAAGCAGCACATCTATTTTCAACATTTTTTTATTTTTATTTTATTAAATCAGCATATTAAAATGATTTCTAAAGGATCATGTGACACTGAAGATGGGGAAAAACATCAGCTTTGCATCACATGAATAATTAAAATTTCTAAATATATTCAAATAGAAAAGTTATTTTAAATTGTAATAATATTACTGTTTTACAGCAATTTTAATCAAATAAATGCAGCCTTAGTGAGCATGTGAGACTTTAAAAGAAATCCTAAAACAAACCAGTTACACGTGAATGATAGGAGCAAGGTAAGTATAAATACACTAACATAAATAAAATAGCATCATAATATGTGTATACACAGGGTGCATAACCCACAATAAACCGGTGCAGATCTTGCAGAGAGGTTTTCTCTTGCATGTTGGCAGGGGCATGAGTGTGTGTATAGTGTTACACTTCTATCCCTGGTCAATGTGACCCAAGAGTGCTGCTAATCCTGTTTCTATGCAGCCCTTCCTCATTCTCCACACGCTGTTTGCTCAGTCTGACTATCCACACATGCTTTTATTAGTCCTCAGCGTATATTGGCAACCCTGCTGGAAGAGTTCAAGGAAAGATAAGGGGATTTTGCCTTATTATTCTGCTTTAAGTATTCTGTCGTCACCATGTTCACTTAACCTCCATAGCTTGAGTCATATTTGAACTTATTGTAAGACCATCTGCTCAAGAGAGGTTTGTCCATGTCTTGTCCATGGCATGCACATTTTGCATGCAGAATGATCCATTACAATGCATTTTCACAGCCTTCACGTGATATAAATCATTTTTATTTTCATCTTCGGCACACATAAGCTGCATCACTTATGGCTGTGAGCCACAAGCTTTCTGGAATGTGTGGAATTGGGTAAAGGTTAGAATGAAATACTGGTTTGCTTAGGTTTTTGACCTTTCCAGGCGCAGTAAAACTGAGTACCGTGGCAACCGTTGTGCGTTCTTTTTGGCATCTCTGTCTTGACGTCTTCTGTCTACTGTTCACATCGCTGTGCTTTCTGTTGGAACGGTTTGAGACCCGTGACTCACCACATTCTATGTCCTGCCAGCTTTATTGAGATCTAAACTATAATGCAATAAGTTATGCAATGGGTTTGACACAGATCCAGCACTCTTATTTTTACTGAAAATGCGTGAGGCAGATCTGTACTGCTCTGTTATTTGTGGTTTTGGAGAGTGAATAGTTTTGTCAAAAACGACCAAATTTTATATACAACCCTTTTCATCCCTGTGATTTAACAAGTCAGGACGAAGAACTGGTTGCACACAGATATTTTACTTTATCTCTGAGTCACTGGTGTCCCTTTTAGAAGAAATTTGAACTCTATCTGCGATGCACCACTGGGTTGGTGCTACAGAAAGGTCATCTGTTTTTGTACTGGTTTCATGTGTTAGAAAATGAAGAGAACAGGCCTTTTAAAACATTTTAGAAAGCTGGTACTTTTTAATTAAGCCTCATGTTCTTTATGGGGTCTAAAATACCCTGAGTGTTTTTCTAGCTCATAAAACACTTAACATTGAACGGTAAAGATTGATGCTTTATAAAATATATAAAATATATAAACTGTATACTGTATACTTTAGTAAAGAAAGTGCAGAGCTTTATTACAAAAAAAATAACCTCCACTGCTATGTCATTTATTACTTCTCAGGTGATTTTGGCATGGATACACCTGCATTTTCTTTAATGAGTTTGGCTTCTCAGAGTGCAGTTATGGCTGTTGTAGAGGAACACTTCATCTGAGAGCGGTGGGGAATCAATCTCTCTGATTAATGTCGTGGAGACGGGCCGTGCATGGGGAACAACCACTCTCCTGCTGTGCTTTCCAGATCCATGCGCCTCTCCCCACTCTTTGTCATTCAGCAGTGAGGCCTGTCTTCTTGCAAATGGCCTCATGAATTTGATTACAAAATGGCTCTTAGTCATGCTTTGCTGAAGATGACATCTATGACAAGGAGATGCTATTTAGTGGTTCTGCTCTTCAGAGCAGGCCACACCGTTCTGGAAAATGTGTCTTATTTCAACAGAAATTTTAAAATTAGTCATCGGTATGCTTTAATACTGTGTTTTAGCAATATTTCTGTGGTAATACAAAGTTTCTGCAGATGCACAGCAGTGGTGTTGAAATAGGGATATTTACTAGGATAAATTAAGTTTTGTCAGTTCATGAATTTTAAAATTGCCTTTTTTTTTCCTCTTTTGGAGAACAGTATTGAACTAAAAGTATCATTTTAAAAAATTTAAAAGTCAACAACATATTTATACTTGAGTAAAGTATAAATGTAGGCTACTGTATTTAAGTACAGTAACAAAGTGTGCGTACTAAGTTAGTCTAAATGGGTTAAAAGGACTTTTGAAAGCACCATGATAGCACATCCATACCTGTGGCGATGGGCAGCATGTATATAGGAACTCATAACTTCTCCTTAACTTCCACCAAAAGTATCTGTGTTAAAATTATCCATAATGACTGGCAGAGAGAGAGGCCATCTATAAACAGATATCAGGGGAAACACCATCCATGTTTATCTTTGGATTTTACCACTATTACATTTCCAAACTCAGCGCCCCCCTCAGAACAGAATCATCTGTGACTGTGGGCGGTTTGTGTGCTTGACGTCCATGAACACTCCTTTCAAGTAAAATATAGGTTTCTTTGAATATTGTAAATGGCCGGCACTCAGTAGCTGCTGGCAGCATGTCTGAAATGCATGGCGGTAAGAGTGTAGATCGATAGATAGATTTCCTTCTCAGCAGATGTGATTCTTGGCTCATGTATTTTCCCTTGTGTGCTGTAGTGTTGTCTGATGTGCTAGATTACCCTCTATCGCTGCACTTCATAAATCTACTTCCAGACTCTTCACTTAGCATTGTGGGTAAATCCATCAACCTTTGTGGTGCTGTAGTGGCCAATCTGAGGAAATCTAATGGATTTTTACTGACACCTAAAGTGCTAAAATGCAGGTTGGTCGTTTACTGCAAGCTATTTTTCTTCTTCATGAGACATTCGGTGTGTATCGTATTAACTTCTGCAATATTACTGTACTTAGTTTGACACCATGAGAAATTCTTACTACTTGTTTCACTGTTGACAATAGTCTATCAATTATTTCCTGCATGCCAAGACTACTAAACACAGACCTTTTCACTTTCTGCCACACATAAACAAAGACATTACATTTGATATCCCACTGTTCTCTGTATAATAGGAACTATGTGTTTCTGTGAAATGATGCAATGAAAAAAGCTTACAATAGTGTTCAGCCACTTCTGGTTTGAACCTTGCTCTTCATAATGATATAAAGCAACTGATATACATGAAGTCAGCTGAAATATGCCTGACTGGTAATAATGGTTCAGATAGTTCCCTCTTAGCTCTTAAGGGTAAAGATGCTAAGGTCTTTTCCTGCTGTGTATTGATTGAATTGCAGTCTGAGCTGTGGTCTGGAGCTCATTTGAGTTCTGCACACTGTTGTTTTCGGCTGGTTTCCACATGATCGATCAGTGAATCTCAGCTAAGACAATGCAGGGCTCTCCTGTCCTGTGCTATATGACGATATGTTGATAGATAGATAGATAGATAGATAGATAGATAGATAGATAGATAGATAGATAGATAGATAGATA